ATATTCTCATTGGATATTCTATGTGGCTGGGGGTGGACCTCTTGCGTCTTATCGCTGTGTATTACTCATATGACCATCTCCAGTGGCCTAGTTAGCGGAGCGTCTTGCATACGGTATTACGCATGAATGCTGATTATCGCATTCTTAACCTAATTGCGTGTCCATGTGTTGTCATCTTTGCTCTTTCACTGCAAAACACCTTTCGCAAGTCTCCAGGCACCTAGGTAATGACTTAAATTTTCAATCCCAAATTTGATCCTCAACACATTCAAACAGTACCTCAAGCTTAATGATTTCATGAGAAATGCGGCAGAAGGCCTACAGGATAACATAGGAAAATATATCACAGAATAACAACCAGCAGATTCTACAGGCAGATTGTTGGGCAGAGGATATTTTTCCCCTTGGATTCCTGAAAGAGATTCAAGAGAACAAGGCAGAGCTCTGTATATACATATATAAGGTATGTGCAGACACCACACTGGAAAGACAGGCAAGAAACATACTACTGTGTGCTGTTGGAAGTGCAACACAGGACTGTGCTTTAGGGGTTATTTTGAAATTGAAGAGTGATCTCTTCTAGGATATAACGCCATGTAGTCTGTTGAAAGTCAACTGATGCTTTAGAGTAACATATCGCCTGCATCGTCAGGGTCAAATAAGTCAAGCAAAATACCAGCGTGAAAGTGGGCAGCAAGCAAATGCTTCTCCGAAATGTCAGTTGACTTTCAACAGGCTACACAGTGTTATATATCAGAAGATGGTATTCTTCATAACCATCACTGTGAAAACATCAAATCCTACATGCTTCAAAATTCTTCACACAAAGGCAGACTATCTGAAGTAATGTCAGAGTGACTTTAAGTGCAAAACTTGCATCCAGTGGTGAAGTGGTAAAATCACATCACACATAAGAATGTTTCCTTAACACAAATAGTCCTGTGAAAATAGTTACTGGTTAGGGTGGAATGAAATTAGTATAAGTATAATTATTTACAAATTTAAATATTTTCTATAAAATATAATAAAATATAGTTAAGAAGAGACTGCCAAACTTACAGTTACAAATAACTTCAGGGATATATAGCCAAGCATTTATTCAAAAGAAGATGTCATGTCTCTCTTTGTAAGGTTTATAAGCTAAGGTTAACATGACAGCAGTAGTAAAACTGATAATTATATGAATGACAGAACCCATGATCCCTTGCCTTACCAAAATTATTGTTAAAATGGATATCAACTGAAACAACATAAGTTGAACTATATTCAGTAGTGGTTTGCAAAGAGTTATGTCTATACACTAATGATTGAAATGATTTAATGCAGCAGTTATAAAAATAAACATTACTGAAAACTGAATTACACAAGGCAGTTATATGTTACAAAATCCTGAATCAATGAGCACACATCATGTTTCTTAAACAATTTATCTCACCATTCAGGTCAAGATCAACAGCTTCAATGTAAAGTGGTGACTCAAACTCCATGTGATTTTCCCACAGTCTTGCTTCATATTTGCTTTGTAAAAATATTGGAGCATTGTCATTCACATCTTCAATGTTTACCACTAACTGTACTGTATTTCTGAAAAGTGAATATACACATTTGGTCAGTAAGAAAATATAAGAGTGAAAGGACGAAACCATGACTGTATATTTATACAAAATATGATGTGTTTATTTACAGGTATATTAATAAGATGCATATTTCAGTGGTAACATTTTACCTGTTTCCATAACCCAGATCATCCCGAGCTTCAACAGTTAAATAATGTCTGGATACAAGCTCCCGATCAAATCCTGAGTCACCTGACTTTATTGTGATTATCCCTGTATATGGATCCAAAGACAATCTAGACAACACAAGTGTTTTACCATTATTTATTATTGACAAAACATTAAAATTAGGAAATTACAATAAACTTGCTTGACACACAAAAAAATATTGTCTTAACTACACTTACAAATCAGACACACCCCCACTAAGGCCAGTATAACGAATTCCTTGGGATCCATAATTTCCAGAATCTTCATCTAATGCCTGTACCCAGGCCACTGTTGTACCTACACCAGAGTTTTCTTTGACAGATACCTAAAACATTCAGCAAATAAATGACATGACAAGCACAATCCTGCACATGTAAGTGTTTCTTGCAATATTTAATGATGATCTATCACAGTAAACAGGAACTTTATAATGTACAGAACTCTCCAATCTGACTGTAGTCAAATCAAAGGTTATGTCATAGGTGAGGAAAACAATAAATAAATTAACAAATCTGATGGCAAATCTCTTAAAAAGACTTTTAAGGTAATAAAGGGGATGGAAATATAATATTAAAATGGATCTTACAAAAATATGTTGTAAGGATATAAATAAACAAAGTTTATCCTCAGCAGTAAGGCTGAATCCTTCCATTCCTTAACCAGAGGGTCACATGATAGGGTAGGTAATCACTCTGTATCATACATCACTATGAAATAGTTATTACTTCTGTTTCATATTTAAGAGGTTCCAGTTCTGAAACACTGCTTTAAAAGGGCTGCTACTGCTTTCTTTCACATCTTTCCTATATTATTCACAATTCATCTTATAATTCAACAATATGTGACCTATACAGTGAAAACATTAAATAACTCAAAGACTAAATCAGTTATGATGTGAGTTTATTAGTGAATTATAGCATTTAAACAAACTAACTGCCGGTCATGGTAGCCGAGCAGTCTAAGGCATATACTGTCTTCGCTCGCTTGGAAAGCGTGATCGTGGGTTCGAATCCCACTCAGGGCATGGATGTTTAGTTTCTGTGTGTGAGTTTTTCTGCGTTTGTGTACATGTAGAGACGTTGCAATGAGCTGATCACCCACCTAAGGGGTCCTACCGAATGTGTAAGATCTAGAAAAACCGAAGTGAATGGAGAAGTTCATGGAGGTAGGCCTAGGCAAACTGGGGCTGTGGTGCCAAGGGGGGGGGGGGAAAAACAAACAAAAACTAACTAGGGTAACATACATTGAACTGAAATGTACCATTATGTTCTACAGTAATTTGAGGCAGTTTTCGAGATTTGAGGGGGGGGGGCTAAAACATTATTCAGATTGAAGAAAATTTCAGAGCAAATCTTATTGAATAATTGACTAATGTATCGCTTTGTGATGGCTCCATGAGCTCTAACATATAGTGATGCTATACGACAAATAAACTCAGTTATGCATATTAAAATGTGAGTTAGCTGGTGTTCTTTGTGTTCGACAGGCATAACAAAAACTCATATATATTTATATGGAAGAAAAGAAAAAGAAATGCCTATAGAAATGTAGTTAGAAAACCTCTTAGAGAGGTTTCTTTAAGAAATGCCTATTGGCATATTTTCCTTCCATATAAAAATGTTAAAGAACACTGAATTAAACAATGAGCAGAAATAAACCACTAAGACACTGTTGGATGGATGAAACAGGATATGATATGACAAACAAGATATTTGAGATTTATAAATTTGGGGGACAGACTAAACTATACTCTTATGCACATCATCCATCACAGCATTAAGACATATTGAAGAGTAGTAGTAAAACAAATATTTATCAATATAGACTCTTACAATATACAACATTCTGAGTGTGTATTGTACAAATAGAAAATTTTACCTCATAAAAAGGTTGTGTGAAGTCAGGAAAGTTGTCGTTCATGTCTCTAATATACACTGTTACAGGAGCCAAACTGTACTTGGCTTTGAGTGGAACTGTTTCTTTGGCAATCAGTGTGAAGTTCATCACTAGAAAGAGGAAAGTTTTAACATCAGTGGTTCAGCCAATATTCTTGAGAGTCTCCTTTATTAAACACCTTCAGAGCCAGTCTCTAAAATACGTTTATTCAAACAATATACCATGTAATGTTCTACAGATTTTTTAGTTTGAAGTGAATGTTTAGAATTTCAATTATTAATGCATGTTTTATGTTTATTGTTCATTTATATATCCTGCTAATACTAACAGTTATAAAATGGTAGACTTGAAAGGATTCTGATGATGGTGTATACTGTACTTCTTTTGGCTTATTTTGGACTTCACCCATCGTCTGGTATGTAAAAGACAAAAGACCACGACGTTTCGGAGACTGGATCTGTCTCCGTCTTCAGGTGGATAGGGGAGGATAAACCTACTCAGTTGGGCCCGTTAGAAAGAGCTAGTCTCAATCACTGGGCCCAACTGAGTAGGTTTATCCTTCCCTATCCACCTGAAGACGGAAACAGATCCAGTTTCTGAAACGTTGTGGTCTTTTGTCTTTTACATACCAGACGATGGGTGAAGTCCAAAATAAGCCAAATGAAGTACAGTTATAAAATGATCAAGATATCAAAGAATATGTAGTGAAACTGAGCAAAAAACTTAGTGCTTCAGGGTACAAATTACAAATATACTGTGCCACATGTTAGTGACTAGACATGGGGTCTGGATTCATAATTGGATTTACTGAACATCTGTAACTTGTAACTACTGGTAACTGTAAGAGTTTCATGGCTGTATTCATTCTACAAATCACTATATTGCCAATTTACATGCATTTAGTAACACCTTTGTGTAGAAACCTTCAGGAACTTACTATAAGCTGGAACTATAGGATTATTACATGGAGCAGAAACTAAAAACTATAAGCTATGTGGAAGACACTAACCCTTGTGATCTTAGGAATATTCAACACAATAAAGCCTCAAAAAAGGAAAGTTACAAGATAACAAAATAAAACAATAAGAAAAGATTATCACTTCACATTATGATTGTAAAAAGAACTTCAGAAATGAAGATTCATCTTTGTATAAATACACTAATATAAATATACACTAGTATAAATATACTAAAATTCGCACCATCTTTGTATAAAATAAAAGATGAATCTTCATTTCTGAAGTTCTTTTTACAATCATAATGTGAAGTGATGATCTTTTCTTATTGTTTTATTTTGTTATCTTGTAACTTTCCTTTTTTGAGGCTTTATTGTATTGAATATTCCTAAGATCACAAGGGTTAGTGTCTTCCACATAGCTTACCTTTCTAAATGTATGATTATAGAATTCATACGCTTTAAAAATAACTGGGTCGTGAAATATAAAAGGTTCCTGAAGGGTCCCCCATGAAGACATTAACGCATATAAAATGATAATATGTTTTGTAACATAGCTTTGAACCACATGATGATCAGCCTACTAGTGGTTGAAGCATGCTATGTGGTAAGAATCCACAGCATACAGGATAAAAACTTGCTGAATTGGTGGTTTTATACAAAAGTTGTTATATGAGGAGACTGCCTCTGTATTCTAGTGGTCAGAGTTCCTGGCTACAGATCCAGAGGTCCGAGTTCGATTCCCGGCACTACCAGATTTTCTGAGAAGTAGTGGGTCTGGAACGAGGTCCACTCAGCCTTGTGAGGATAATTGAGGGGCTATTTCAAGAAAACAGTGGCTCTGGTTTGGAAAACCGAAATTAACGGCCATGTGGATTTGTTGCGCTGACCATGCAACACCCTCTATCCACTAAAGTTGGCACTAACTTCGCTGACAAGCAACGGTTGGTATAGTTCAGTTGTGAACTAAAACCATGGAGGTTTTTTTTTTATTAGGGGAACTTCACGATATTTTTCAGGCTTCCCTTATTGTACGTGCAACACATTATTGCCTACATGACATCTGAGGCTCTAGTGGTATCGATTATGAAGATTATGAAGATTCCGTTATTTGTCTTCATCCGCTTTTGCAGGCATGTGCCTCTCTAGCAAACTATGTTGTGTCATGCCCAGAAGCCTGTAACAGTCATTTTGTGGCTAACTGAAAAGTGTAAATGAAATGTTACATAATTTTTCTACAGGTCATTCTTCTCAAATATGTCTCTTTTTACATCTAAATTGTCCAATACATATGTATTTTATTTTGTCAATTTCTTATCTTCTTTAATAATATTGCTACATTTAATTTATAATTTTATTTGTAATAATTACCTGTAACTTTCTCAAAATCCAGTCTAGTTGGGTCCTTGACTCTAATGAGAAAAGATGCTTCATTAATTCCCTTTGGCGGGGTCACCTCAAAAATACCCCGATCTCCTTCAATGAACATGATGAAGGTTCCATTCTTTCCCTGTCAGAGTAGAGATACTTAATAAACATACCATATTTACAAAGAAGTCTTTCAGGCAATCAGGTGTACCAATGTGCAGTTGGTGTCTGATATTTCAGAGACTGCCCCTGCCTCCATCACCAGGGGTTGATGTGATGAACATTTCAACTGCATGCTATATAAATACAAAACCTTTCATTGCTCAAACCTGAACCAGGTGGAAAATGGTGGCCACAGTCAGAAAGTGACGTCCCATCCCAGCACAGAACAGTGTGTCAGTCATCTGAATTCATGTTACTAGATGTTACTCCTTCTTTACAACTCACAGAGTGGCAGTGATACAGTATTTGATCTATTAATAAAATATTTATTTCAATTACAATACTGGAAATTATATAAAAAGAAAGACCATTGCATTTGCATTGCATTGCATTGCAACATTCGTTGCACTGATTGTCTGGATATTCCTAGTTGTGCTGCAGCCTTCCTTGTTGATTTAGCAGGACTGCTTTACAGCGCCATTCTGACAGTGTCAATATTCTCTGGAGAACATGCAGATAAAGACCAGCGACCTTTCCTCTCCAACTGGTTATAAAGTTTGTGAACTGGTTTGAATGATGGTGTCCATTGCATTTTAAAATGTGCATGAAACTGCCTCTTTGTAACCATAGCACTTGCTGTTTCAGCAAAGAACAACACTGTTTTTATGCATTGTTCTAGAGGCAGTCTTTCTTTATCAGCCATCTTGTGTAAACTAATGGAAGAGCAGGAACAGCGTGACTGACTGTGTCACTAGTGTGCTCAGGAAGAGTACAAACTCCACGAACTACTGTAAGTGTTACCATGTTACGAAACATGGTTCATTGCTTGGCTGAATAATTAATACTAAATCAAATACTAGATTATTTTGTGTGCCAACCTGTATTTTAAGTTCTCTCACTTTATTATATTAGTGGCCAGGCACCATAAATGGTGTATAGGGAATCCCTTATCTCTGTTAAATGTATAGGGGTGAAGTAAGATCTCAATGGTCTTCTTCATTAAGCACTCCATTTTGCCTGTCATTCTTGTCAGCACCGCTGTGCCCTTCAAGTTCATTAGACACAAATGGTACGAGAAAGAATGACAGGTTACATGTACCACTTAGTTAAGAAAGCCACTGAGAGCTGGCTTCATCCCTATAATTTTATCAGTGATGTGGGATTCATGGTACCCAGCCACAAATGTACTAAGACAGATGACATAAGTTAAAAATATATTGAAAGGAAAGGTCACTGACTAGGATACAGAATTCAGATGACTGGCTAATTGTGCCTCATGCAGTCTATGCTGGGTCAGACATCACAGTGTGACTACACCCACAGTTTCCCATGTAATGCAGGTTTGGACAGATGACATGTTTTGTACTGTGGGGGACATCCCACATAGCATGCTGTTTCCACCGGTCTTTTAGACAATACTCACTCCTTAGTGAATATCGCATTGCCAGACATTTCATTCATATTTATACAAGCACGCACTGCAAATTTCTGCTCCTCATTTTCGTTAGCCAATCAGCGCTCTGCAAATTGTTGCTCCTCAAATGCAAGTTTCGCCCCACCCACCGAGCATGGTATAAAAGGCGGAGCCCAACAAGAGCAGGACACACATCCGGCTCAGCACATTCAGCCATCAACTCTCCACTGCGATCAGTCGTCAGAGATATCAGCTCCTCACTTCAGCTCTAGTTGCCACAGGCCTTCAGCGACCAGGCAACCGAAGCAGCAGCAGCAAGTCTCCAGCGAATGCATCTTCTGCAATTCCAGCAACCGGCTGAGCTAGCTGATCCTACCGGCGAGCGCAGCACTGCATCACCATCCAGACCGGCCAGCTAAATGGCCGTAAGACTNGGTAGAACAAACTGCCCTTAGAGGGCCAGCTAACGCTTGAACATTCCACATATATTCCGTGTTCTGCTATTTGTAAATTCAATTTAAACAATTCAATATATATACAAGTGTTAAGAGTTTCAAGTGGTTGTCATTTCAAACATCGACGATCCCACAGNGACAGATGACATGTTTTGTACTGTGGGGGACATCCCACATAGCATGCTGTTTCCACCGGTCTTTTAGACAATACTCACTCCTTAGTGAATATCGCATTGCCAGACATTTCATTCATATTTATACAAGCACGCACTGCAAATTTCTGCTCCTCATTTTCGTTAGCCAATCAGCGCTCTGCAAATTGTTGCTCCTCAAATGCAAGTTTCGCCCCACCCACCGAGCATGGTATAAAAGGCGGAGCCCAACAAGAGCAGGACACACATCCGGCTCAGCACATTCAGCCATCAACTCTCCACTGCGATCAGTCGTCAGAGATATCAGCTCCTCACTTCAGCTCTAGTTGCCACAGGCCTTCAGCGACCAGGCAACCGAAGCAGCAGCAGCAAGTCTCCAGCGAATGCATCTTCTGCAATTCCAGCAACCGGCTGAGCTAGCTGATCCTACCGGCGAGCGCAGCACTGCATCACCATCCAGACCGGCCAGCTAAATGGCCGTAAGACTGCGCCCACTACAGAGGAGTGAAATTGCGGTGGAACGCACTGCCCTTAGAGGGCCAGCTATCGCTTGAACATTCCACATATATTCCATGTTCTGCTATTTTGTAAATTCAATTTAAACAACTCAATATATATACAAGTGTTAAGAGTTTCAAGTGGTTGTCATTTCAAACATCGACGATCCCACAGTATTAATATAGCATGTGAATACAACAATCATCACAACCTCTGATGACAGAGAGAGACAGTGTCTTAAATGTCAGACATTGGCTCGACAATGACATGGCCGATTCTGAGAAGGCCTCATTGTATACTGTTGCCATGAAAGTTTAAAATCATATATAACATATTTATCCAAACAAATATAAAGTATTTTTCTAATTTGAGAAAAAGAATATCATTTATGAAAGTTTAAGGATTGCTTGAATATCCTGATCCTGTCCCCAGTACCACAGAAGTTATTGTTCTTAGTAACACTTATGGGATTGATTTCCAGAGAGCAGTGAGAGAGTTATTTATGCTTCAGTGAGAATTACAGTCTTAATCTTTGCAATAACAAATTTCCATTGTTGACAATGTATACATTCAATGAAATTATGTTTCAATACATACAAGAGTAAATCAATTGAGGGGTTATCTGTGGTAATTATAGCTAGGGGAGAGAATTTTTATTTCTGGAGTTCCAACTATCTGCTGCATTTGAGCCCATTAAAAAATGTGTGGCTACATATTAATACAAAGGAATATTAAAATTGTACCATAAACTCCTGGTTAACTGGCATGTATGAATGGCAATTTCAACACGCAAAAAACTATTACAGAAGTAATATACAGTCAACTCTTGATTATCCGGGGGCGGATTAACCGGTTTGCGGCTTAACCGGGGCTACTGAGGCTTTTTTGAGGCTTATATGTTGTTTAATATTCATTCACTTTTGTTTCACATGGCGAGTTGTAACACTATTTTCGCACTAGTGTGAACCGAGCTCTGCATTCTTTGGTCCCGTTATGCTAACACTGTTCTAGGGTAGGGGTGAAAGAATGCGAGGATTTGTGGAAAGCTTCAAGGACAGATACATTGCCCCAGTTAGTATCTTTGTATCGATCTTCAAGTGCGTTAGCAAAATGTCAGGGTGTAAAAGGAAGCGTGCTCTGTTAAGTATTCAACAGAAAAAGGAAAATACCGCCAAAAAGTAAACGACAATATTTTTTTTTAAGTGTTAAGTGTGAATATTCGTAAAAAATGTTGGATGTTGTTGAAGACTGTAATTGAAATAACTAATTCATATTTCAGTGTATTGTAAAAAAAAAAGTATTAAATAGGCCATGAGATGACATAAAAATGAGGTTGAATAAATTTAAATACAAGTAGGCCTATAGTATTATGAAGGTACAGTATTACAGTATTACTTTTAATAAAATTTGTCTTAACCAGGTTTTCGATTAATCGTGATTTCCATCCCCACCATTATCCTGGATAATCAAGAGTTGATTGTAGTTGTCTGTTCAGAATATTGTGGTGTTACCAATTTGCATGGGGCAGGGTTGTATTAAGACTTTTGTAGGCCCATGGAGCAATGGCTTGTAGGTCTAGGAGCTAGGATGGCTGGTTGTTTACCCAAAGAGATGGATTCACAGAATTAATCAAGTATGCTCAGAGATACCAAAACATCTATAGCCACCAAAATTTTGTGACTGAGGGTTTGACACATTTACAGTATTTTCAAATAAAGTCATATATATATAAAAACAGTGAAATAAATAAAGGTAATGATAAGAAAATCCTTTCATTAAATTATGTGCATGGGTTTGTGCAGACTATTATTCTCAAAACTACAAAGTAGTTCTTCTTAAAGAAATGCTGAATGAACACTAGGACATATTGCTTGCATGTTCTCACACTAATTCGTATAATAATGGTATTGTTTTTTGGGAACATACAAGATGACGGAAATAACCATGAAAGCATATTACAGTGATTAATCAACTATTACCTGATCATGGTCAAACACTTCAGGTACTGCATTGTTAAGAAATGTGACTGGTGTGCTGGCCTGAGCATTTTCGTTTACCTCAGCAAGATACGATTTACTGCGAAACATTGGGATTTCATCATTAACATCTGTTATGATGACTGTCACTTCTGTCTTAACTGCTGGAGGTGGAAATACAACTTTGGATTCTTCTCTAGCCTGGAATGATAAAGAGTAGCAGAAGCAATAGCAACAACAGGAGATGCAGTAACAGTAACGAACAGCAAAGTGCAATGGCACTGAACAAGTTGGCTCAAGCAGTAATGCTTCTGATTTGTATTCTGAAGGTCCTGGCCAAAATCTCAAACAGAATCCTGACTGTCCAGACAGGTTTTGCAGTCTTCCTCAGCTCCTCCAAGCATATAGAATTCTGACAGGACCTCAAATAAGGCCCTGGGCACTTAATTCCATATCCTTTCCACTTCATTATTCAGTAATCACCCAACCACTGAGCACTATACAGAGTGAGATACTGACATCATTAAATAAACAACAAATAAAATAAATGAAAAATAATACTGTCATGTGTAGGGTGGTATGCATGACGAGAAAAACAGGTTCCAGTTCAATATATGGATTTATTAGCACCTTGGTTACAAGTTCTCTTAATCACACTTAAATACAGCGCAATCGCTGATTTACACTTTCCAATTCACCATTGCACATGCACTAGGATTCCCAGGCTTCACTAGTCATCTCCTGGCAACAGATCTCAACACAGAAACTAGCACTTCAAATCACTATGAAGTCTTCTTGCTATTTCGTCTTCAATCACTCTGTAACCTCGGAACTAAAAATTTTTCTGGAATTACTCCTCCAGCTTATGACTGACTCGTAACTGCCCCTAAACTGAAATTGCTTCTGCATTCAAATCTCTTATAAGCACTCTACACAAAACCCATGGAAAACACCTTCTCTGTTGTTTATGACATCACCGCCTTCACAGCACCGTCTGATACGCGGAAATGTTTTTATCCAGCCATTGCTTAGAAACGGACTGCATAACTCCAGTATTCTACTGTTGCTTGGCACAGACCACATAACACACAGCCTCATCCTTTGCTTCACAACCTAGCAACGGACTGTTTACCAAGAATCTGTATTTGTGGGAACATTTTTACAAACATGTTGCCTAGCAATGGGTGTACATGTAACAATATACTTGTAGTTTGGTGTCTATATCTGCTGGTGGGCAACGACTCAGTACACACATTCTAGCAAACACACAACAACAGGAGCTGTTCTCATGCTACAGTTCATGGCTTGGTAGCCAACCAATAAACAGCCATTCTTGTTAACAAGTGACAGGTGTTTTCCATGGGGTCCATGCCGAGGGATGATAAGTGGACAAAGAATGGAGTACATTAGAGTGTAGAGCAGTATGAACAAGTACAATGGAGGACAAGAATGAGACTGGAGCATGTCCTAGTGATTTGTTAAGTGGGTAAATTAGTCTTAATAAATCCAATCATCCAATCCATAATCCATTATTATCAGTCATGGAACCCTGGACACGTGACAATAGGAATATTATGATGGCTAAAGTGTAAGCCCAACAAGAAAGCAGCATGAAACATATCCTGGAAGACAGAATTCTTCATTTTCCAAATTGTCTGAGTTCCAATCCAAGCACTTCCAAAATTATAATCTCCTCCTCGTACCTTCAACTAATTTAAAGACACATTCATTTTCTTTATTCAAAGATAACTTATTGCTTGCACTGCATGATATGTAGTATTGGATCTGGAGTTACTTTGAATTTAGGTTCCACTTCAATGAGAACAGTTACATGAGACTGATTACAAGTTGTTATTTACATTAATTTGCTCCGTGACTTGCAGCTGATATCTGCTTTCTTGTTGACATACATCATTTGCTATCCATGTACTTACTTTACAGGAAGTTTACAGAATTACAGGGATTGTGATTATTACAAATTCAGCTCAAACTACATTGTATTATCAGAAGTGCAGCTTTATACTTTCTCTCTGAAATCTAGGCATTAAGAACAAATTACTAGTATTAAGTACTTTAAGAGTATTCTGATGACAGTAAATAGAAGAAAGTTTGACAGAATTCATACCATAATTTCAAGGATGTAAGCACCATTGCTGTTATGAGAACTTTCTCTGTCCAGTCTCTTAAGTGTATAGACAACTCCAGAGTTAGCATCTATATCAAAGCACCCCTGAGATCCTTGTGTAATGCTGTAAGTAATATGGTTGTTGATACCTCGATCACCATCAACTGCTTTCACTAGAAAATAACCATATGACTATGTCAACAATGAATGGTATGAATCCCTGAGCCACTGATGTTACATTTTTAATACATTAAATACAAGCTTGGCTGCAGGTAATCCAAATATTCTGTCCAGCATTATTTAGAAGTCTGGGTAGGTTTGAAGCATTCTCTGACCAGCAAAATTCTGAATCACATTACTCATGAATATATGACTCTGTAAGTTTATATGTGCCTTCAAGAGATATTCTAAGAGCTTCTGAGAGTATGGTACCTCATATCACACTTCTAAGGATGCAGAGGAACACCACATTAGACAATACCCCAAAACACACTACATCTTCTTGTGGCACTACTACCACTCTTGACAGTTGAAAATTTAAAAAATATCTGTTCCTTTCTCATCACATCCGACCTATGAAGAATCTTTTGTGAGGACTCTTTGGTGACAAAAATGTCTGGATTTTGCACTGATGATGATCATACATTAAATTTGAGACAATACCTCCTGGTGATGAAGAAACATTGCTCAAGTCAGTTTCCATTTTTAGTAATGCGGTAACGGGTGTAATTTTCATGCAGTACAGATATTATTACTTCTCTGTTAGACTTCTGAAATAGCAAATAAGATTTAAACAATGTGCACTGCAGCAGGCAGAAGAACACTCTTTGGTCACATAGAAGTGTTCCTCATTAACAGATAAAGGGACAGATGTTGGTGTGCACTGTCCACCCCATGCACGGATGCTTTATAATCGACCACACATTCCACTTTCATCAATTTATAAAATCTTTTCGAGACATCAACCATTTCTGCAGAATGGACTGTATATTTCATTGTTATCGCTTTTTTTTGTCCATCCATAATTAAAGAAGCATTTCTCTACTTTCTGAAATGTCATTTCACCTTTCCTCAGTGTCTTTTTGTGATCTTTAAGGTCATTTACTAGGGTTGTTTTTTCCTACTTGTGCCATGGATCTCTGCATTCTGTTTGCGTAAATGTACTGCCATACGGACACTATCACTCTGTACCCCTGGAGAAAGTAGGGATTCAGACATCCAAAAACAGTGTCCTGAAGGGCCATATCACTTGAATCACAGATCATTTATTAAACAACATAGCCCGAAACTGACTCACACACGATTTTCATCATACTTTCATAATTACTCATATTTATGGATTGTACACTTGGAACCTTTGTAAGCCTCTCTAAGCTAGCATCCTTTTATCGAGGACCAGATTTTGTTTAGGGGTACACACCACTGATAATTGATCAATAAGTCTCTCAAGTATAGACCTTATGTTCTAAAGTCTGCCTCTGCTGCTGTGGTGAGGTGCAGCAGTGATGACTGTGTATCATGCAAATTGGTTTGGTCACAAACACACTCAAGTAAATCGCCTATAATAAATAATTTAACCAATGTCATCATGTAAGTGTTCTGAATTACAGAATTTGACTTATGTTTGCTCTAAATGGTGGAGAGAGTGGGCAAATACTCTGTGACATTTTGGTGTGGCTTCATCTAAAAGATCATTGATCATTGCAATTTTACGAGATTTAGGTCTTTCACTGTCACTGGATTCACTGGAATCATACTGTGCAATTAAAAATCATCTTTAAAATGTTCACTGAACAGTATTTCCATTATGTGACTGGAACTCAATCTCTTCTTACTTCCCATGGTGACTTCTTTAATTACAACACACTACATAACATGAACACACTCTTGAACTAGCTTATTGAAGTAACATAGGACCATGAAATATATGTGATCAATGCCAACGAAATATTCATACATTTGCTGTTTATGAATATGGTAACCTATTATATGATATACCGTATTTACGCATGTATAGGCCGCGTGCGTGTATAGGCAGCAGCACAATTTTCAGACAGAAATTATAGAAAAAATAATTTTCTTGGAATATTATTTCAGGAGTAGAACACTCTGTATTACTAATTATGAATATAATTTTTTTTAAATGAAGTGTGATTTCGAATATTTCGAATATAAGCCGCACCCCAGTTTTCCTCTTGAATTTTTGGCAAAAAATGTGCGGCCTATACATGCATAAATACGGTAATCATTGTCTGAATGAGAAATTTTCGCATTCAGCCGAAGTGCAACATGGTATTGCAGATATCATCATATATTGCAAATGGTGAATGTGTTAGTAATTTCTTTTATCATTCTGACTCCTTAACATTTTCAACAGTTCTCTTCCCTATGTCTGTGTCTAATGACTTACAATACAATCATTTACGAACAGTGATCTTGATTAAGGGTTTTCATATTTTTCCTCATTCTCACTAGCCAAATACTGGGATAGAATATCAAATTAGGTCCCAATTGCTTCCTTCTGTAACCAATTCCAATTAATTATTCTTTATTCATCTTATCATTTGATGGTATGCAGTATTAGCTACTGACAGCTCAATGTAAATGAATGAATACTTCAGACATAATCTTTTTATTTGGATTACAATTTCCGCTGTTGGCCTCTGATCAACAAGTTTTCTCATCAAACTGCCAAAGTGCACTACAGACTCGAGTACAGTACCCTCATTCTACAGCACATAAATGCTAATTAAAATTTCACATGCAGCATTATACCTCTTTAATAAAAACATCTGTCTGCTCAGTTAGTTATTAAATTAAATGCCAAACTATAAATTTTTCCACTTTAATATTTCTTTATTCTCTGCTCTTTGCCCTACATATTTCTTTAGACTTTATTGCCAGTGCTATAAATAATACCTTGTAGTACTGGTGTACCAATCTGAGCATCCTCACTGATTCTGGTTACCGGAGTAGCAACCACAAACTCTGGTGGCTGGTCCTCCACATCCAAAACCTTCACTAGTATGGCTGCAGTAGCAGTATTCACCTTTTTTCGTACAATAAAAATTAAAATTAGTATTTTTAACTGATTAAAGAATTCAAGTATTTAAGTTATTTCAATTATCTTCTTATGATATTTCACACGAATACTAATAGTTAGTAATTGCAAAACATGGGGAAATATTAGAACATTGTGTAAAACAAAAATTTTGACCATTAGTAACTTTATACGTGTTTTGACGACTAGAAACCTCAGCAGCTGAAGCTATGACAATTCCCGTCATAAGATTATTAAATAAAATGAAAGTCAGAACATAGTGAGTAATGAGGCCGCGCCATAGCTCAAGTGGTTAGTTGCTGGCTTCCCACCGTGGCAGCCTGGGTTCGATCCCGGGTCTGGTCAAGTGGGATTTGTGGTGGACAAATTGGCGCTGGGGCAGGTTTTCTACAAGTGCTTCAGTTTCCCCTGTCAATCTTCATTCCAACAATCTCTCCACAATCACCCTCACCTATCATCTGGGGCTGGTACAATAGGCCAGAAGTGGCCGCAGTACAACGGACTTAGTTCCACCCCACTAGCAATAATAAAAAAAATAATAGTGAGTAATGACCTTGTGAAACACAGTCTTGGTATATTTTCCACAACTAAGATTGTTCAAGAGTATCAAGAATATGGGTACATGTTAAGGATCCCAGATGTTCATAATGAAATGGTGTGACAGTCTTCTTGATTGAAGTCATATCGTGGGGAAGGAGCGGGAATGTGCATTTGTTTGCATGCATGTGGTAAAAGTATGCTTCTTTATTTTGATAGCAAAAAGACTTAGAAATATCGAAATTAACAACAAAATGCAAAAATGTATGCAAAATTAGCTATGGGTACAGAAAATGACAAACATGATAATCTCAAATCACTAGAATTGAAAATATACAATAAAACCCTGAGAAACAACACAGTCATTTGGGAAAATGATGAATTTTTCAGGATTTGCCTTTAAAGAAACGAAGGCTTGGTGATTCTAAAGGGGTCTGATGATGGTGTATAATACTCAGAATTACAGGGTTTTGGGACTATGACCATTGTCCTGTATTCTAGAAATTATAAAACACGTTTGAAAGCTGCATCTGTTTCTGTCCTCAGGTGAGGGGGGACACCTAGTCTGTTGGGTCCCTCACTGATTAAGGTTAGCTCTTTCTAGGGGACACCCAATCTGAGGACAGAAACAGATGCAGTTTCTGAAACGTTGGGTTTTCTAATTTCTAGAATACTGGACAATGGACAAAGTAAAAAAATCCAGTAATTCCAAATGCAGACTTGTTGAAGCAGTGTCATGTATCAGGGTCACTTCCTCCATTTGTGTTAGCAGTGTAGGGGCTGAACTGTATTTAGAGGAACTGCTTACATGTTAAAAAATCTTATGATCTTGTAAGAGAAACTCATGAAATTTTATGTACTTATAGTTATGAAAATGGTACTTCACTATTACTACTGATTCCACTGTGGAAACTTCTAACCAATTTCTTTCATCCATTCATAAGACATTCATCAGTGATAAGGGTATTATAATACCCTTTGACCATTTGCATTTGTTCCTGGCAGAGATAAGGAAAATTACATGACTGTGCTAGTATTTTAAAGCGCTCTAAAGCACTAGAATATTTCCTTCCTGCATTCATCCTTTGGTAGTTCCTCTCATGTTTCCCCTTGACATTTTGAAACACAGCACAACAATATTCATTGTCCATTTCTGTCAACTCATTCAATATGGACTATTTTCTTCTATCATTAATTCTAATGACTGATGGAGCATTTTCTCAGGTGTGACTTTCCTCAGTGTTACCCAAGACATGCACTTCAAATTGTTAAACAGATGAATCCATTCTGTAATGTATTCAATTTCTTTTCATGAAATTCACTGATCTGAGAGTCAAACTGATGTGAGTTTACATCACCTGCACATCTACCATTTCAAAACAAAATTATTCTCTTGCAGATTTCAGAATTTACTAGCTTTTCTGTAAATATTTCCAACAGAACAGTATAACTTACCCTTTCATTGTTAGATCGATCAACTGCCATTACTCTTAGCTGATATAAAAATTTATGTTCATAATCCAGCTGGCCAATTAGCCTTATTATTCCCTTCCCATTCACTGTAGTGATGGAGAACATGTTATCATCACCATCCAGTTCTTGTAGGGAATACACCACCTAAAAATAATTAATCCAGTATACCAGTTATTTAGATAGGGAAAACAAATATATAATTTCTGTGTCTGATCAAATTAATTACTCTAAAAGAAACAGGCTGCTTCATCTTGTAACAATGAGCTGATGATTTACTCTCCTCAATTCATTCACTGAATTGTCTCTAAAGAGAAGACATATACTCAGTCCTCAGTAATGTTATGCAGTTGACCAAGTGATTTAAATAACTGAAAATTAATCAAGAAGGGACAATACTAATACCTAAATAGTGGATGCATATTTTGAAAAATATAACTGCCTGCTCGCCTGAGATCAGCTGATTTTGTGACTTAGTGAGCAGAAATTTTAACAGATATTAACACAGCACTGCCACCATTTCCCTGTAAGATATAACAATAAGTGAGAAAATAAAAATCTGTCACATTATGGAGTGTGGCTATAGATGGGCTTTGAATTGATGACTGGATTTATTAGACCCTTTGATACAGAGCGTGACTACACCTTACAGGTCACTATTACACACACACTAGTGTTCAGTCATGTCTTCACTGTTGTTGCTTGGTAGCGGCTTCCAGCAATGGATGTTCCCCTTCCTCTGGATTCCTGAACTGTCCCTGGCCTCAGCTACCAGCTTCTCACAGCAACAGCTAACAATGACTGAACTTCAGCTGTCCTCTAACTCATTCACTCACCAACCAACTCACTCCACTCCACTCCACTCCACTAATTCTCACTAATTGTCCTGCTTATAATGTCTAGCAAACACCATTCCTCTGTTGCTGCATCCAATACTGAGCCATCAGAATGGACAGCGCAGAAAACGCCATTCATCTATTGCTGTTTTCTGGCCATTGCCTAGCAACAGGTCTACTATAGGCTGCCTCTTTTTGCATGAAGTGCAGTGGCAGCCCGACAAAGTGTCAGTGGGCAAATGCTAGATGGCAGTGACAAACTCTTGCAGTGGCCCACTGATCAGCAAGGTTCTGGCTTTCAGCTGGGAACGGTACACTGCAGCCACTTGGTGTTCCTTTAGTAGCCCTCTAGTGCCTTATTGTTATCTTTGAGCCTTACTTCTATCAGGACACTATGCACAATGTTGATCACCCACAGCCTCAAACTGGCAATGAAAGAAGGTCATGGACATGGGCATGAATACATGGAACCTCAGCAGCTTTATTCTGTCTACTCTAACTGTAGTTCTCCCACATTTTCCACACCCAACTCAGGCTCTGATGTTTGCCAGTTGTGTTCTGAAATTGCCCCATGTGGTTTCTATGATCATCATCATCGCCTATTAGTAAATATGTGTCCCTTGGATCATGTTTAGTTTTTCATACAGGCTCTGAGCCTGCCTTCAGACAGATACCTCCATCATTTGTATGTCCAGTTGTGTCTCTGAACATCTGCTTTGACACCCTCCACTCACTGATGATTTCTTCAAGTTCAGTCTGGGCATATTGGATGGCACTTATTGTGGCCTCCATCATTTCTTTGTTGGGCCATCATTTTTGCTCAGCCAGCCCTTATAGTGGCATCACCATCTTTTCTTGTATGGCCCCTATTTAGACCTTAATTTTTCCTTAGTCAGTACTTATGGAGGCCTCCATGCAATGAACCAAAAATCTAACCCAATTCAACCAATTCAGCACTTCTGACATCAGTTGTCCTGTGACAGCGACTAGATACAGGGATTGAATTGATAATTAGATTTACTGGACACTGAATCATCTTATTTAAATAGTATAAAAAAAGTACACACTATAATTTTGTAGTTCATTATATCACTCTTGCTTATTGTCCATGTCATAAAATTACACTGTGCTATGATTTAGGTTTTGTGAATGGGGACTCCTCTGTCAGTTCACAGGCTCTTTCTATATTTCTTTACAGCCTTTGCTGAGAACATCCCCCCTGCCCCACCCTCCAAGTTCCTAGAGTGCTGCCCATGTACATGGCTGTCAGAGATTTGTTTTTGTGTGCATACATGACTGTTGGGGGATTGGTGCTTCACACTGTCTAGCAATGGATGCCTCTGCAACATTTTTCTGACTCCAAAATTCTGAACTTTAGGTGCCATATCACAATATCTTTGTGAAGCATCAGTGATATATTTTATTGAAACTCATATAATGTGCAATACTAAATCATTATGGGAATCTATAATCAGAGACTAAAGGAGTACTAAAAACCCTGTTATTAATCAGAAAATTATATAACCTGCTCATGGATAATCGAGAGTCTACTGTATTAATGTCAGACATTCAGTTTAATCTTTTAAATGCAATTTTATGACATAAAAACCTGTATTAAAACAGATTTATTTTTAATTGATGATTCTAAAAATCCTAATTTCTGACATTAAGCCTTAATGCCTAAGTTAGTATATAGCTGCTTTATGGAGATGGTTGAATTTGTTGGGAATGAATTGGAGATATGGTCATGAATTATGTGAACTCTTTCCCTTGTCTTAGAATTACTCATGCCAAAATTCTACCAGCCATATCTTCATATGAAGATATACAGATATACCTAAGACAGTGTCTGGGCTATAAAAACTTTGAAATAGAAATATAATTATTATACATTAATCTGTGGATATTTTGCCTACACAGAACTTCTCGTGATCAAAAAATCAGCTGTACATATCTTATTGAAACAGTCCTGCCAGTCATCTCAAATGCTCAGCCTGAGGATTTTCCTGAATAAATGAGGAAAGTATTACAAATCTCAGTTATGATATCAGGTCCTAACTGGAACTTGATCAATTATTATAAAAGAGATATATACCTGCCCATATGGCCCCTCATCTTGATCTGTTGCCTCAACAGTAGTGAGAATATAGGGTGCACTGTCTTCTCGAATGCTAATTGTTGGCTGATAAGGTTTAAATATAGGTTCGTTGTCATTAACATCTTCAACAAGAAGCAATAGACTTTGAGTGATAAAGTTCCCTTCACCCAAGTGGCCATCAGTAAGGGTTAGCACCAGGGAGTATTCATCCTTTACCTGTGAAAACAATAATTTTCTTCAGTATAAACTAAAAAAAAACAAACAAGTATTATACACAAACAAGATCTCTCAGATCCAGTTGTGTTTTCTCAGTAAAAATCTAATTTTATGATTTCCCACCACAAACTGTGAAACTAAAATATAATATTTTCCCACATAAAAGTCTCCCTTCAAGTACATGCAAATGTGTGTAAATGTACAGGCAGTCTCCACTCTCATGCATAGTTACACTCCTGAAGAGTGTTTCTTAGGATAATTTCATAATGTCAATCACTACTTCCCTCAGGTGTAAGGTTATAATTGGGGGTTATGTCGCTGAAGAATAAAAAAATTACCCCAATACATAAACCATCAATTTTATCGCCTGACAGTAAACATACTCTGCCATATGTACTGCCTGCAAGCCGTCCTTGCACATAAGTCGCAGCTTGTTTTCATCTATCTATGAATATAATCCATATTCCATTCATCCTGTTCCAATCCCTCCCCACCACCTTCCTCCCTTGGCAAGTCTTGTCTTTGGGTTTGGACATCACTGTCTGCAAACTGGAAGAAAGATTTTTTTTCCCATATAATTAGCTAGTTTTTATTTCTAAAATAGTTTGGCTTTTCTACTTCCCTCTTCCCATGAGAAGATGACCCATACTGTATCTATCCCTGGTCGAGTTGTAATGTTAAATGTGCTATGAGGCTCTGTGACATAGACTGATGATGTCTGAGAACAGGCTGTTGACCAGACATATGCCCACAGTTGCAATTCTTTCAGGTCAGATTTATGTGTTTGTATTTATTTTGTGATAAGGAACTGGTGCACAACTAAATAATGCTGTTCTTGCTGCTGCTGTTGTAATCGTACTGTTCCCGCTGTTACATGTTACATGGTCCTTATGTTGCATGCCTGCATTCATTTATGGATTAGTTCCAGCATCAGCTCCTGTTCAATGATCCTGCATATTCAATTTACTTAACTTGCATGTAACTTGAAGTGATATGTTCTTATTATTGTATCCATCACAATTTAAATGCAGAATATAATATCATATTACCTCACGATCCAGTTCTTTCTTTAAGAATATATCAGCCTCATTCTTCCCAACATTCTCAATTTGGAAAATCTCACTGCCCACTTGATCTCGAATACCAAATCTCAGTGGGTCATCATCTGGATCAAAACCATGAAGGTGATAAATACGGCTACCTGCAAAAGGGTATAAGACACTTTCTCATTAACCTTTATTATTCAGGAACAATGAGTTTTAAATTTCCTGGTACTGCAGGGCCAACAACCAGATTTGAACTATGGGGATAACAATATCAGCATTTAAGACAATGCAAAGCATAGCCAGCCAGACTACTCACACATTCCATTTAAACAATGTAACACATGGCCAATAGAAGTGAAAAACTATACTGAATGTGCACCCCTATCATAACTGGCACAGATGATGCTGTCCAACACTTCAGAGCTAGATCTCATCTGACATGCCATCCAAGGAGTCAGCTCTAACAGTTCCCCTAGAGGAGTTCTGTAGATGTACATCGATCAAGATGCATGTATAACAACTGGGGAGATTTGTTTTAAGGAGTACTTCTGGTTATTTCTGGTTAAAAGACCTCAACCAGAAGTGTTCTTAGGCAGAAATCACTTCTAACCTTTCCAGTAATTGCACCAAAGACCTTCTGAATCTAAAATGTGTTAATACTGTGCATGGTTGTATCAATATCTGTGAGAGTGAAAGATAAGAATCCTGGATTTTCACACTTACAGTCTAGGAAGAATATGAAACGGTTATCTTATTAGGTTGTGCTGAAGGGCATTTCAGGTGTCAAACAGCCATAATAATGAAGAAGTTTCCCCCAAACAACTGGTGTCACCCTGCCACTAGAGAGGAAAAGACAAGCCTATGATGATGACATGAGTACCTTGATTACAACCTGATGTTGGTAATTACTTAGAAGAGTTACTCCTCTAGATATCAACTACAATTAGAAATCTAATGGCATGTCCTACCTCACTGCCTAGTTTTGATTTTAGGCCCCTTTTATTGGAATAACTGTCTACAGATCCCCAATTTATATCATTCAAATGTATGTGATCATTATTTGAAATGATCATCAGTTCAATCAAGACACAGATTTATGCTGTAAGGAGGAGCCACTTCTATGGTAACTCATATTCGTTTCTGTGTTAATTCTAACAATTCAGACACTGATATAATCTCTTCCTTCTTAAGACTACAGCACTGTTTACTATTTGACTCCATCTTCATTATTACAGAATGCCACTGAACAGTACATATTTTTGTTCTGTCTTCACAAATGTCATCTGCGCACACTTTTTATTTATTTCACAATGAGCAATTCGGTTACAGAGATGGCTGCAATTAAATTCTGAATACATCTTACAAGTTACATGCCAAAGAACTAAAAACAATGTTAAAAAATAAATGACCTATCCAGTGACCTCATGATTTAAGGCATTTCCTCATACTGGTATCAATGGTGAAAATCCTGTTGGGGCCTGGATATTTGTTCATCTGTTCCTGCATCTATCTTGAAATGGTAGGAATCTTAAGACAAGATCAATTTTCCTTTGAAAATGCCCCTACTGCATGAATAGTAAGTTAGAATAAATAAGATGATGTTGCCTGTGGGAAAAAAAAGGCACTGAGCAGAAAGATAAGCCAGAAAAATTATAATAAACACATATCTGGAACTTGCCTACTGGTGTTGCTGCACCTTCTTTCAGCCTCAACACAATTTCTGTCTGTCCATCTATCAGAAATCTTGGTGGAAGATTTCCATGGGCAGTTTCAACTACAAAACACATTGCAAATAGGAGTCCAAATCTCCAGCACTCCCAAATGAGCCGGTGTCCTTTCAATCTCACTTTGAAAGTCCAGTTTCTTGTCCAACACCTTTCCATTGTCTCTGGCTTGAGGCACCGTCTCATTCATTACAATGCAAACCTCCAACTAACTCAGGGGTACACTCATACCGCAACTCTGGTACTTGAAGAATGTAATTCTTACAACGAAACAAATTAAATTTTATCCTCATCTTCCTCAAGAGTTGATTTCACAGCACAGCCTGTCTTACACCATCACTGTAAACGCCTCTTGGTAGTGATTCATCATATGAGCTGCATTCAGGATGTATCCTTGGCACTGAAACAAAATTTGAAATGAATATAAACTATTTCTATAACCCAAGGAGATTAAAGAAGTGTACTCCCATTTGCAGTATGCATGCATTTATCACAGTCCTGCTAGAAGCCTCAGATTCGGCAGACCATGATGATTTCAAGTGATAGATTATGGTTTGAAGCATATCGCTCTGTTAGATCTGGAAGGATTTTCGTTTTGTGTGGATGGAAGCAAAGTATCTTCTTTCATATCCACCTCATTTGTTCGCGTTACTTAATACTTTTTAATGAATTTAGAAATTTTGTGGAATCTTTTATTTTGAATCTCTATAAAGGAAATAAACGAAGAAGTTGTTCTTTTAATATTTTTCACTTATTTAATGACTCTGTACCAACTAACGAAGCTTAGGATTAAATTAGATGAGAGGAGTGATCACAGAGCATGAATAAGGGACAGGCGAGCGTTGCCTGTTTCATTCCAAATACTGTGGAGGATCAATTTAGATAGCCAGTGCTAGGGCTAATATTCGAACTGTCTGTGTCCTGAATATTGTCGGGTTGTACGAAGTATTCGGCTGTCCGAATGAGAATTATCAGAACTGATTTATACTAAGAGTATAGATTGATTCTGGATGTTAAAAGTTAAATAGCTCAAGCCTGAATTCCCAACTGCCATCCTACTTCCACATGCTTCATTTCGCTTCCTCAGATTTTTGCTCAATTCTCTGGGCGAAATTACATTAAAAGACGGGAAACCTGCTGTCCTTTGTGGAGGAAACGGTGTGGCATTTCATGACTACTACCACAGTCCATGAAACTGCGTGTTTTTATTTCATACCGATTGGTCAATAAACATGAAATATTCACATCGATGAGGACCCAGTATTAAGAAAACAAACAATGAAGTGTTTAATGGAAACATGTAACTTCGCCCAACTCCTTCCTGAATAGCTGAAATGGGGACTCTTTTGTTGATTTCTTCGGCCCTGACGTAGACGACAAACGCCAAGAGTGAGACAAAAGCGCGAGAGAAGAGGAGAATCGAGATACAAGGAAGCAAAGAGTGCGCGTATATAAAAGTGATGTAATTACAAAAGGGAGCGAAGAATTAAATGGTTTGTTTGAAAGGTCCATAAGGAATGGGAAATATCACAGAAACATTGCATTCATAGTATTGGTGGGGGACTTCTCGTAATGCGATATACATGTGGAGACGAGACGATATCAAAATGTATCTAAGAGGAGGAGGTAATATGTACATGAACTGGACTGAACTGTCTCTGGGTCGTGTCCATGACGAGTCGTTGCGTTTTGTTGTTGTTGAATTTTTTCGTTGTTGTGTCAGAGTTTTTCAGAATCTAAGTCTGGTTACAAATATGGTCATTCTCCGTTTTTCAGTCAGGGGATCTTTCCTGGGTTAGCCTGGATGTTCCACCCAGACATCACCGTTGACCTCTCAAGAGAACCGTAGTGAAAATAAGAGCATGCCTAATATAACCTATACATCTTCATGATCTGTCTACGCAAGCGGGAGTTGAGAATCCAGCATGAAACAACGTATTCACCAATACTTCTGCCCCAGAGATACTGCCAGCACATGCTGGAAAATCCAATATGAGAAAGGCACATTGTCGTGGTACAGCAAATATTCTAACCTCATCTTTCCACAGACTTGAATTTGCAACGTCCGTAACTAAACGGATTTCAAGAACGAAGCTCTTCCTCTAACCGACGAAAGCGTCATGCGAATACTGCAAAGATGGGCATATACTATATCATGCGTCGGAGAAGAGAGGGCGACGTAACGAGCGTGCATACACATACATGCATGGAAAATAAGTGATCTGAGAACACCTTTTGTCTAAGTGGTTAGTTTCGTCTTCCCCGTGTGTTGGGGAAGGCAGGGGAAATTGCATTCTCTTTATACTGCTACTTTTCGTATTCGCATTTTTTCTTTATTAAGTGGAATGAATCATTCACTTACTTACTCATGGAGCTGAGCCCTTCTGGAGGAGCCGCCAATTCTGCAGCTACTCAAGAATTTCCCAGCATTTTATGGAACCCGAAAGTTCATTACCGTGTTCACAAGAGCCCTCCACTGGTCCCTATCCCGAGCTAGATCAGTCCAATCCATACCAACCCATCCAATCTATCTAAGATCCATTTTAATATTGTCCACCCACCTACGCCGTGGTCTTCCCAGTGGTCTCTTTCTTTCTGGCTTTCCCACCAATAGCCTATACACATTCCTCGTCTCTCCCATTCGTGCTACATGCCCTGCAAACCTCATCCCCTTGACTGTACTTGGAGAAGAGTACAAGTTATGGAATGAATCATTAGTTACAGAAATATTCACATGGTATAAATAGAGTTCTTCTCGTTGTCAACTGACGCCATTAATAAATAGACGACAACAGTGGGTGACAAATATGACGTGGAATTACACCATCCCCAGTCGTCACCTGGAGAAGGTCACCGGACAATTTTTTTTTCGTAACCCACTATACTCGTATAAAACGCGATGGTCATCAAGACAGTCCATGAACACAATGTGAGATGAGCAGTAATAAATCTGTGAATTGCGAGATTTACTTGGTACAACACGAAATATTCTACAAATTCAAGACGTTTTCGACTTCTTTTGAAGTCAAGCTGGGTGTAAAGATAAGTGGAAGTAACGATTTATGTTTTTTGCTAACGATGAAATTTGGGAGATCTCGGTGGATCTGAAGAAAATAAGATACAAGGATGGGGACTCAATATATCCGGTTCAAAGGATAGGTTCTAGTGCGAGCCTCTTGTGACAGGGCCGTGATCTTTCGGTTGCAATAAAAGGCGGAGATTTCTTTACTAGTTCAGTAACTATTGCCCCGAAGGAGGACAGTACTTCATGGCGTTAGTTGGGCAATGAAGCGAAATAAATGCACGGTCTATTTGAAGAACGGCAGTGAGTCAATTACAGAGTAGGACAAAAAGCGATGAAACTGAAGAGCCCACATATGAAAGAAGTAGGCCGTTGGATTTCCTGAGAAAGGATTAAAAATAAATCGACTATGAAGTGTTTATCTAAGAAAAGGGTCATGGTCGATAATCTTTTATCCTCTACATGTTTCTGTCCTATAGACCATCTTCAGAAGGATGTTAATACAATTAGAACCCACTATTACAATACGTTTTGGGAATATTAATACGTACATGTATGTAAGGGGTGGGCCATAGAAGCCGGTCCCTGGACTGCGACCTTTAATGATCTATTGTGCTTTTAATACGTATATACAATGCGATCATAATACAATGTACAAATCTAATGTTTTTAACAACTACAGCGGCTTGTACCAACACGTTAAGATATTTATTACAGTTAGTATGTTTAAAAATGTTAAAATTTTATAAACCAAATTGGTTCGTGTCCCTTCTATTTCCTCTCGCCAAAGGAGGCCAAGCGTCCACCGCCCCGCGGTTCTGTCCTTTGGGGAACAGATGTCCTTAGTGTCGCCTTGTTGATGCTGATATCCTTCTGAAGATGGTCTATAGGACCGAAGCACGTAAAGGATAAAAGATTAAAAAGAAAAATAAAACATCAGTCACACTGGACGGAATTAATTAAACTTTTGTAACACTGTTAGTGTGAAGGACCAGAATAAAACAAATCAGAGTTAATATTTTGGTTTATTTAATGATGCTTCATCAGGTCAGTAATGAATCTGATATAACGCGAAACTTGAATTAATCCTCAGAGTGTTCACCTATTTTTAGGAGGGATTAAAAGGTGTACAGTTCAGTGACGCCATGGTAGGAATTTTAAAATAATTAAAACATATTTCTACAATTCATATCTGAAAGACTAAAACATAATTACCGTAATATATGACTCGAGTGCAAGTATGACAACAATTAACACCTTCCTTGTCTCCCGCCCTCTAGCTATCGGTAATATAACAATAATTATTCCTGACCTCACTGTAACATAAGATAGTACGTCTGCAATTAATAAAAATTCCTTTACATCACCCAAGATTCCAACCAATAGACCTATCCATATTTTAGCCTCCGAATCAGAGATGAGAGATGTATAGAATATCTTCATTTTAAAGCCTGGAAGAAAGACACCACTTGGGAGACCTAGATGTAGATGACAGAATAAAATTAAAACGAATATTACAGAAATAGACCAGCAAAACAGACTGAATTCATCTGGCTCAGGAGCGTGACAAATGGAGAGCTCTAGTGAATGCAATGAAGAAGACTCTTGGGATTTTTTTAAAAGGTCGGTAATTTAATCACTAGCTGCGCGACTACTGGTTTCTGAAGAAGAAATCTACTATATGGAGCTGGTTATAGATCTTAAGTAAATACTTTACGACGGTATATATAGATGATGTGACGACAGTGAAGAACATCCGGCTGCTACAGGAACAAGCGCTGTGTCGCAGAATTTGTTGTCAGTTGCCAAGTGCAGACTTTGCACCATGTAGTCAATTACTCTCCTCAAGTGCAGCAGTGCATGGCGTGGTAATTAAGAATTCAGACGGATGGGGGAAAAGCGACGATCCTGCAGCATTTAAATATATCAACTCATTTTCTTGGGTTGATTTTGACAACCGAGAAAAGCTTCCGGGCTTAAATCAAGCCGGAGACATTCCTGATACAAAACATGAAAGCGATGCTGGTCCGTTACTTTTTAGAACCAAATTACTAACAGCATCTCATACTGTGACCCTTCACACGGTCTTCACTAAAACGATCCGCCAATGACGTAACATGTTACGCATGAGTAGCTATGATTCACAGTTCGCGAACACAAATACCGCGGCCTTTCCAAGTATAACACAACGCCACTATTACTGGAACGGGGATTGAGGGCATTAAAGAAACTGAAGAAAGCAGTCTTCTGGGATTTGGCACCGTGTATATGTGGTGTTAACCGACGTTTCGGAGGAACGTATTGCCTCCATCTTCAGGGTAGAAGAAAAA